TTTCAGATGGCTTATGGTAATTAGTGGTAATTCAACCTTTTTCGCTTGTTTGGCTTTTCAAAAACGTATTTTCTCGTCATCTAATAACCTGAAGTAACCAAATCAGTCTCGACGGGTTTTCGGGTCTCCTGCACGTTTTTTTATTCGCTGCTTTTCACACAGTAGAACTCTGTTAACCGGGGTATGGTGGTTGTTTCCGCTACAATAATGTCTTCTTTGGTTCCCTGAATTAAAATCATCCCATGAAACGGTTCTGGACATTATTCATTGATTGGCTGACAATGATGATAATGATGACAGCATCTTCCGGAGATACTCACAAGCCCTACCACACGGATAATGAATCTCGACTCTTCCGACAAAAGAATCCAACGGGAATGCAGTATATCCTTGATAGTGTTGACCGCCGAGCTTCTCCGGTTGATCTCGAAACAAGGACTGAAGAGACCTGACCTTTTGCCGCAAGGATGGATATCGAGTATAGCCTACTTGGTTCATTTCATTCTCTCCTATCTTTCCACATCCACATATAGGAGTATTTAACTGCTGTTGGTTATGACAATATACAAAATACGCTGAAAAGGCGGCGCATATAATGACGGTATCGGAGGACGCTGTTATTGTATTTTGCAACTCTCCATGTTGATTCAGCGGCGCCTTTCGTAAATCAGATTCTCAACCCTCACAGTACGCCGCTGTTCTACTCAGATTGGAGCTGTCGCACTGGAGGATAACGAAAAATCCGGCTCTCAACAGACAGACCCGATACTGTTCCAGCGATGCTGTACCAGCGATGGTGGACGGCATCAAGCAGTGTAACCGAAATTGGATGACGCTGCCCTCAGAACTTGGTGCTTCATGGACAGCGGCACTTCAGGATATTCCAGGAATCGGCTCCACCTCCTCCAGGAGAAAGTCATCCTAAAGTCACGTAAATAGTATGCGATTGTCAATGAATACTTGTAAACAAGATACGGCATTACATCTGACACACAAAAACCCATCAAAAACAGGGCACTGTTCTGCAGAGACCACAACGGCGTTCCTCGTTGAACATGGCCAATTCATGTACGATATTCCGGATTTATTTTCCTGTGCCCCATCAGACGCGGACTACAGATTAGAACAGTAAATAAATCCAGAGGGAAAACTGCCATATCAAAGACTTGGTGTGCAGCTTACCACAGTGGTTCCGACGAAACAAAAGGCTACTGCTTCTCACACAAATCCGGCTTTCGCTTGCGCATAGCAATGACCTCAGCAAATTTGAGAACTCTGTCGTTTGCTGTGCTGAACATTACATCAAATGAGGTCGCTAGATCAATAGGATGCATGCTCTCGATTAGATAACGAACAACTACTGACAACTCCGGCAGTGTATATGCTGTGGTCCTACTTGGCTTTGAAATTGTGCGAGAGTATCTGATTGGTCCAACCGTTTTTCGTAGCCTCGACGACGCGTGTCCCATCAACCTCAATCGTTCCCTTGAACTGGTGGCTGACGGTGGTGGCACTAGACCACGATTTGCCCTCTGAACGAAGACCAGTCCGACAGTTCATCTGGTGGCTGTCGATTATCTGTTCGCCGAGCTTGGAAGTTCGTTTGGAGACAGTTTGTCAACTTTCGAGGAAACATCATTGAGCTGTTGGGTGGGTTTGACTGTGTAGGACAGAATGTTGTCGGGCGCGGTCACCACACTACAGGGTCCTCTGAGAAACGAAATCAGTTCGGAGAGAAAGCATGACTTGCTCGGTAGCTGAGCTGTCATCCTGACCGATGCCCTTCTTGGGTGTCCAGGAGCACAGTTGCCCTTCAATAGGTTCGGCCTTCTAACAAAGAGAATCATCACACACGGATGCCCCATCTATGCCGAAAGTTTGTAACATCACTTGCTGATATGCTCAGTGACCGGCCAGTTGGTGCCATAAGCTGGCAGTATGTAAGTGATCGCACAGTGAGTGGTCGAGTGGAATGACTCGGTACATCGGTTCGATTTACTAGCCCACTCTGTATTCGAAGATGATACATTTGTACGACGTTTGCAGACTGGGAACAGCAGTCAACTTGAGCCGGTCGGGCGTGACTTCGAACCCCTAGGTTGTCGAAACACGGGTTACTCATTGGGCCCTTGTGTTGTGGATATCACATTCAATTGCGTCTTGCAACCACGCGACATGATAAGAAGACATAAAATAAGCTTCTTCGGAAAGATCCACCGAAGCGTATGTTTGCCTAGCTTTGAGACGCACCAAGAAACGAAATTTAAGAGTGTGCTTTATCTGGAATGATCAGAAAGCAACAGACCTTGAATGAGCGGATCCCGAAAGGAAGCAACATCGATGGGGTATGAACCCTTCTTGGTGAATGGTCAAAACCGAACGTAAGTGAACACAGAGAGTAACCACAATACCGGTGAAAACCGCTCATCAACTTACTTTGATTGCCCCGAAAACTTCTCCGAGACACTTGAGCCTCTTATCCTTCCATTTCATTTCAGAAGCCTGAGAATAAAAGTTGGTGGGGAGTTAATAAGAGCAAAAAAGCGAAACTGAGGTTATCGAGAATTTCCTGGTATCCACTGTACAAAACTAACATGTGAAAAACCAGGTAATTTTTCGACATGAAACGACTAACCTCGAACTTTTGGGTGAACCACATGAGCATCACATTCAGGGGTAAGAGTAGGAACATGCATCCAATACCCGCTAATGTTGCCGGTCCCAGCTGACGCCACAAGAGTACGAAAGACAGGACAAACTGAATGACTGCCGTCCAAGTGAGGAACGAGAACACTGGAATCAAGGAAGAGAAGGCATAGGGGTAGGCTATTTTGTGACTTGGCTTGTTCTAAACTGGCACTGAAACTGGAATAGGTCACATGAACAAACTACACTGAGACAGAAAAGACGGTGGACTTGGAGCCAGAATTATTGATCGCCTTCTCGGTATCTAAGCCCTGACTTCCTAAGGGAGACATGAGCGACGAAAAATTACTTGGGGCGCGGAGAAGTGTCGGGCAAACATGGTTCGAAGGCATGGTAATATGATTGGGCGTGTGAGCGGACAGTGTTGCCATGTGGATGACGAATGCCGTCAAGCGGTGCAGAAAGGGAACTGGGTCCGACAAGGACGCCAAGGCTCATGATATGCGAATGCGACTATCAGTAACATCGCTAATTAAGCCTGCGGTTCTACTGTTTGAAAATTAAGCAATGAAAATGCATGAATGGTAAGGCCAGAGTCTACTGGCCCGAAGGTCATTGGTTCGAACCCAGCCATGGCTGTTTGATTACTCCTGTGTAAGTTTGGATAATCTGGAAGTATCGCAACTTTAATACGTTCTTCAGAATACAAGACGCTTCGGCAACGAAACTGTATGGCGGCGATCAAAAAGGGAATTGATTTAACTAAGCCACAGGTGTCGATCATATATGGATTATAAGAATCGATCTGGTTTCACTGTGATAAGAGGATGGAAAAACAAGGAAGCCACATGTTGCTGAAGTCAAGACTCAATTAAGAACAAGATAAGTGCCTTTCAGGAGTCTACAAGGCTAGCTTTGTGAACAACCACAGCACGTTGTACGCAGAAAAACGCATAGAAGGACAACAGCCATGGAGTAAAAGAAGAAACTTTGTTCGGGGGTCGTGGTTTGGAGGCAGTCTCTGAGGCTTACTCACGCCAAAATTGATCGTAACACTAGGGCTCAACCACCGCACACACGAATGGGTGCATGTGTGAGACAAGAAAGGAAAGGATGGATGCGTTTGACCAGCCTTTCTATTAATCCAGGCACTTCTCCCTGCATTCTGGAAGTAGCCAAAACAGCTGCATACCCCACAAAGGACAAAAATCCTCGTCAGTCACGACCGCTTATGGAGAACGTTTTATGAAACTCTCCACGCATTACTTTCCTCCCTTCAAATCAACCCGAACGTTCTGTGGGCGGATTTTTCCAGCTGAGATCCAACAATCTACAAGTAGCTCCGAGTGGAAGCTGCACCTGAGAAGTGATCGTCCGAGGAGCCAGTCAGCACGCGGTAACAGGTGATGTGGCTGAACGAGAGTGGCCTCATGTCCTGTGTGAGTGTGAGTTACTCACACTCTGCTGATCAGCCGCTCACGACCGAAAGGTTAAGCGTTCAAGGTCACCCGTTCGAAACTTCCTACCGGAGCCCCGTGAGGTGCGTAGTGCTTATGATTCACACTGGGGATGAAACAGCTGTGCAGTGTTTCTCGGCTGCTCGGCAGCTTCAGTAGGCCGGGATAGAAGACAAAGTTTATCTCCAGGCACAGCTTTTGTTATCCTCAATACACACGCGGTGAATTGGTGGTGGCTTTTGTAGAGAGAAACCCCAGAAAAAAGTGTCAACGACGGTTCCACACAAATTAATCAATCGTAGAATTCCGTGAGTGGAATAACACAGTTAGGCATGTAAATGAGATCCCATTGAATCTAACATCATGATAATTTCCCCACTCATTTGCTCACTCCGACTGTGCACATATCGATCGCCACCCGTTTCGCTTTGTCAACGATCGCCCATTCACCTTGCATCAACGGCCGACCTGACCGACACTGGCATACTAGCATAGGTGCGCGTGCGTCACTGACGTGCACATCCTGTGCTCTGAACTGTTCTGTCGTGATTTTGGTGAAATGGCACCGCCAATCGGAGCCATACAACCGGCCTCAGAAGGACGACCGTGACGCACCGCTCACCGTCTTCGGATCCACGGGCCCTGACTTTACTCTGTATCGGTCAGCGATGGACTTGCCCACGTGGTGGCACCACGAACGTGAGCAACTGAACGAATATACACTCATTTGCAAACTAATTTGGTTTTTCGAGAGACTCACCAGGGACCCGGCTGAATCTATCGTTTGTGATGTTTCCAGGCAACTGAATGTGCGGCACCAGGCCGCCTCATCTTTCAGTCGCCACAATATTCGAGATATCGCGATACATGTCAATATCTGTAATGCACTACTCATAAGTTTGCTAAAAATCCGTCGACAGCCCGCGACCGGTTTCGCGCCCTTTTTGCAAATGAGTGTATATTCGCTAATTTGCTGCAATTTGGTTTCAAGTAGAACATAAGGTTGACGGAAACCCGAGGACTGCGCCCACCCAATGAGCACCAAAATGGGCGAAACCGGTCATGGGCTGCCGACAGACTTTCAGCAACTTTATGAATAGTGCATTACAAATATATACGTGAACAACTGAGGTTTGTTCGCTTATTTTTGTGTAAAAAAATACCACAGCCTTCGAACCCAATTCTTCTCTTTGATATTCTGGATCGTCAGACATACACGTGGGGAACCCCAAACCGGTCCAACAGTCGAAACTCACTGAAAGACTCCATGATTCGATTGACATCAACGCTCAGCAAGTTGAGCAACTCGCCGGTAGTGTACTTCGCTCGGGACTCCGAAGAAAGCCTCAAGGACTGGAAGGTGTACCGAGACAAACGAAACCAAAATAAACATGGGT